CTGAGTAAGTCAATTAGAAGTCACCGAGGAAGATGACCTTAAATCTACAAGCGTGACTAAGTGCTCTATCAGGAGATACATATCCTGGTGGGGGAAGGGACCAGACGTAATTGTTCGATCGAGATGGAAGGGATGGAACCGACAAGACTCCAATGCTCTTAGATTATGCAAACCAAAGAAGACGACGAAGATTTTTTTTTTTGACGATTTCCTCTATTCATTCGAATTAAAAGAGGATATGAATTTTTAATCTTTGATAATTATATCATACTACCAAATAAATTAAAATTTTATGTGTAAAATATGCTAAAATAAGTTTGAGATGTTTAATCTTACTTGGTGTTATATTATATTAACGATAAATTTGTTATCATGTTGATGAGCTAATTACATATTATTTTTTTATAATTAATTATATTTAATGTCTTGATCTCTGTGTATTCAAAAATTACATTCGAATTCTTATACTTACAAAAATTAAATATTTAATCTCTACGGTCATACGTGTTAAGTGATAAAATAGAATAAGATATAGTCAGAATGTGTTCAGTGATAAATTTTATAATATTTTTATTAATAAAAATAAAATTAATTTCTTTTGATAAATATAAGAATCGAGATACTAAAAATAGTTAATTATAAAGAATATTCTACCCCCGTCCAATTAATCTCATGGCTGGACATCTGAGAGACCTCTTTAACTTTTCTAACGTTGTCTTTTGACGTGAATCATAGGAAAAAAAATATAAAAAAATCATAGGAAACATTAATGTGAATTAACATAATAAGGTCAAATAAGAACGAGTCTACATGCATCCATGTTTTCATTTGTCCTCTAAATTTTCTGACTTTATTGTTCACACTCTTTCATACTTTTCTTGGAATGTGGGAATACAAAATCAAGATCTAGAGGGTCCATTAATCTGAAGTCCCCCCTAATTATGACATACATTAAGATTTCAGATTGATGGAGCAAACCTCCCATAAACTTTGTCGGTGTTCCTTAGCCAAGGGGACAAGGATGACTACCAAAGTTGTCCTATGTATCTTTGTGTCCTTTGTGTAAATATATAATATCAAAATGACTCATAAAGAACGCATTAATATATAATATCAAAAGCCTACAAGATTAGTAAAGGAAAAAAAAAAGAAGAGACAATGGTCATATTATATATATATATATATATATATAATAATAATAATAATAATAATAATAATAATAATAATAATAATAATAATAATTTTGCAAGCATACATGGTGTTTCTAGAAGAAGCATATTCCTTAATTGTGATGCAAAATCCTGCAAGATTAGTAAAGGAAAATAAAAGGAAAGAGACAATGGTCATGAATTTTTCCTAAGTAAGACCAAGGAAAAAAATTATTGAGGAGGTGTGAGCTGTGACCAGTAAAAGAAGAGAAATAGACACTGCAAATGTAGGAAGAAGAAATAGATTTTTTGGCAAGTTGGAGAAGAAGCTTCTAAGCGTGATACTATTATATGTACTGTTCCTATATTGTGGCAGGTCGATGCCTTACGTGATCTCAGCCTTTGGCCCACTGTGGCCTTCCAAGTCAATCACTCAATCTAAATTGGATAGCAGCGGCGGAAGGAATACCAAACGCTCCTTCCTCCCTCCGTCTCGACGTTTCAACTCCTTCCCCAACCTCTTCACCTTCTTCCCCCCCAACCCTCCTCTTATATGCTCTTTCTCACCTTCTCTCCCTTGTAATTAATTGTTGGGAAGAAAGGCATGCATACATGAGCTGTTGCATGCAACATGCCGCTCGTAGATCGCCTCTGTTTCGTCTTCCCTGCTCACGCCGACTCCGACGCCGAAGTCCACCCCATCGAACCATCTGCCGCTGAGAAGCCGCCTAGGGGTAGGACCGGGCGCGGGCGCAACATCTCCGCCCGCGCCCGGGGCGTCCTCCGCTGGCTCTGGGGCCGGAGATGGTGCCGGTGCGTCCCCGACGATGCCGACCCTCGCGACTCGTCCCACTTCGTCGACATCGCCGGCGCGCACCTGACGCCTGCTAAGAGTAAGGTCGGCGGCAGCAGTCCCCGTATATTTAGCTACTCCGAGCTCTACATCGGGACCCATGGCTTCAGCGACAAGGAGGTCCTCGGTAGCGGTGGGTTCGGGCGGGTTTACCGCGCGGTGCTCCCCGGCGACGGCACCGTCGTGGCCGTTAAGTGCGTATCCGGCCGCGGCGACCGGTTCGAGAAGGCCTTCGCGGCCGAGCTGGTTGCCGTCGCGCAACTCCGCCACCGCAACCTCGTTCGCCTCCGGGGATGGTGCGTTCACGACGACCAGCTCCTGCTGGTATACGACTACATGCCCAATCGCAGCCTCGACCGACTCCTCTTCCTCCCGGCGACCGGCAGTGCCCCGCCGCTCGATTGGGCCCGGCGGAGGCATATAGTGTTTGGTCTGGCCGCCGCGCTGTTCTACCTGCACGAGCAACTCGACACGCAGATCATCCACCGCGATGTCAAGACCAGCAACGTGATGCTCGATTCGGAGTTCAATGCCCGGCTGGGGGACTTCGGCCTCGCCCGGTGGGTCGAGCACGGCGACGAGTTCGACACCTCGATGCGGTCGGTCTCCGCCGAGAATTACCAGTTCCGGCTGACGGAGACGAGCCGGATCGGCGGCACCATCGGGTACCTCCCGCCGGAGAGCTTCCAGAAGCGGGGTGCGGCGGCGGCCAAGTCGGACGTATTCAGCTTCGGAATTGTGGTGCTGGAGGTGGCGACCGGGCGGCGGGCGGTGGATCTGACCTTCCCGGATGACCAAATCTTCATGTTGGACTGGTTGCGGCGGCTGTCCGACGAGGGGCGGCTCCTGGACGCCGGAGACCACAAGCTGCCGGACGGTTCCTATCCGCTGGCGGAGATGCGGCGGCTCATCCACCTAGGCCTCCTCTGCTCCCTCTACGACCCGCAGTCGCGGCCGACCATGAAGTGGGTGATGGAGATTCTGTCGGAGAGCTCCTCCGCCAAGCTCCCGGCGCTCCCCTCCTTCCAGTCACATCCCCGGTACATCGCCTTCTCCTCTTCCAGCACCGCCACCACTACCACCACCGCCACCACCTCCAACTACGTCACCGCCGCGAACACCACCATGTTCCTCACCGCCGACAACAGCGGCGCCTCCAGCGGAGGCAGCAGCGACAGCCGTCGTACCCAGAAGCCGATCCCGAGCATCGACACGCCCCGCGAGATTACCTACCGGGAAATCGTGGCCCTCACCAACAACTTCTCGGAGTCGCAGATGGTGGCGGAGCTCGATTTCGGCACCGGCTACCACGGCTACCTGGACAACCGCTTCCACGTGCTGGTGAAGCGGCTGGGGATGCGGACGTGCCCGGCGCTGCGCGCCCGGTTCTCGGACGAGCTCCACAACCTTGCGCGTCTGCGCCACCGTCACCTGGTTCAGCTCCGTGGGTGGTGCATCGAGAAGGGGGAGATGCTTGTCGTCTACGACTTCTCTACCACCAGCCTTCTCAGCCACTACCTCTTCCACAGGAAGAACTCGGTCTTGGCATGGCACCACCGGTACAACATCATCAAGTGTCTCGCCTCCGCCATTCTCTACCTTCACGAGGAGTGGGAGGAGCAGGTGATCCACAGGAACATCACGTCCTCCGCCATCTCTCTGGACCACGACATGAACCCCCGCCTTGGCAGCTTCGCCCTCGCGGAGTTCCTCTCCAGGAACGGCCACGGCCACCACGCCCCTGCTTCCGGCCACGGCTCTTCGGCTCGTGGAATATTCGGGTACATGTCGCCGGAGTACATCAGGACAGGCGAGGCGACGACGATGGCGGACGTGTACAGCTTCGGCGTGGTCGTGCTCGAGGTCGTGAGCGGGATGATGGCGGTGGACTTCCGGCGGCCGGAGGTTCTTCTGGTGAAGAACGTGTGGAATTTCGAATCCAGTCAGAGGCCATTGGCAGAGCTTGCAGATCGGAACCTCGACGGGGCGTTCCACCATGAGGAGCTAATGAGGCTAGTGAAGCTTGGCATAGCGTGCACGCGCTCGAATCCGGAATCGAGGCCGAGCATGAGGCAGATCGTAAGCATATTAGATGGCAATGATGAGTTACTGAGAATGACGAGCCATAGAAAGGAGGGTGAAGAAGACTGGGATGAGAAGAACGCTTCTTCCCTATCAATGGTCAGGAGAATACAAGCTCTTGGCATACAGTAAGATCTCAGATACAGAGCTCATTTTTGTGTACTCAAAACCGTGCTGTGAGATCTTTGTTTGGTCTTTGTAAATACTGCTTGTCACTCTTTTGCTTGTGAATCTGCTCACTGCAAGTAGGCATTCTTCGGCAACACAGTCCTGTTTCTGAGATCTGATCAAGAGATACAAATGTTGCAGAAGGAACACAATGTCGATTGTATCTACATTACATTGTAGATTCTTCATGAGGTCATTAGAACAATGTGTTGCTCTGTAGCTTTCCAAATGTCTCCATCATCCATATCTTTTGCTGCAAGAATTCCAGAAAGTTAAAAGGAGTTTGGTCAGAATCTGATGCCAAGTCTTCACCCAAAACTTTTTGGAACTTTGCTTTATGCATCTTGTGAATCACGAAAGTTGTGGATTTCCAAAGGCAGAAAATAATTCCTGTATCAGTAAACTTCATCTGTAAGTGCAATGATCTGACTGGTTCTTGATCTCATGATCAGCGATGGTCCTTGATCATCCTTGTTCCAATCCAGAAGGAAGATGGAAAAGATCATGTCATAAATCACTATAGTTATTAACCAAGAAAAATGAAGAACAGTAGACTAATCTTCTCATATTCTTCAGTCTCCTACTTTGTCAGTGAAGCTGCATATCACATAGGAACTTCTTTGGTTCTTCAGGGTTTATTGTTCCATGTTAGTCTTCCTTGTACAAGTGCAATACCCACAATTTGTCAAATGATCCTAATCAATGTTTTACAATGAAACAAGCAGCAAACAAGTGAAATCAACATACTGTTGAGAAAATTTTCAGCACTTCTCAATCATACTTCAGCTTAGGGAACCTCTTAGTGTACATTGATTTAGATACTTTTGGACAGAATACTTCTTCAGAAATCAGATTAAAAACACTACACCAAAACTTAATTTCCTAAAAGTAAGTATCATGAGATATTATACCCCAAAGCAACAAATATGAATAGGAAGTTCAATGTCTAGTGAGTGAAATAGTAGACATTAACATGAATCTCATTATTAAACTCACCATCTGCAGCACAAACATAAAGCTTGTGTTACCAAACTTCAATGGTTCTCAGAGGTTCTTTCTCATGATCTGTGTCTATTCCAATCCATTTTATCAAGGAGAAAAGGAACTCTTTGAAAGACACTGTTCCATCCTTGTTTCTGTCCATTTCTTCTGCATTAATTTACAAAAAAGAATAGTTACATTACAATTACTATAAAACTGACAAAAAAAAAAATTCAATCATGAATTTACTGAATCTTCTGCTTGTAATATGAGTTGGTGATTTCTCCTTTGAAGGTGCTTCGTTTAGTGCCAGAATGATGTCCTTCTTATCCAGCTTTCCATCACCATTTTTGTCAAGAAATGCAAATGCTTCTGCAAGCTTATCAAAGGTGGCTTCAACATGTCGTGATGCAGAATTTGACATCTGATAACATTATAACGCACCAATTAAGTAGCAGGTGTATCAGACTGAATAATTGACTTATTTATGCTTACATTATTAGTTGCAGAGTCAGGTCCTGCCAGAAGATAAGCAAAGCAAAGGAGAACAATAAATTCATGGTATTGTATTCCTTTGTTTTCATCCATGCCACAGTAATGATAAAGACGATCGATATCCTTCTCCGAAAGTTGGATTTGCAGCATTCTCAGGCACTTCTTTAGTTCTTCATGATGCATCGTGCCATTTGAATCCTCATCTGGAATGTGTGCCAGAACACACTTTGTTCTTTTAATTACGGCTCGTACTAAATCAGCATCAAATTGAGAAACTAACCATTGCCATTGTACCAAAAATTAAAATTGATGACCAATTTTTCAAACAAGCAAGGAAATTTCTACTCACCGTATTTTTCAAAGATATTCTTGATATTTTGCAACCCTTCTTTGAAATGCGGGAACCACATGATGATGCTATTGATTGATCTGAAGGTATTTTGGTTCGAATAGCCTCTCTGTTTCATGGCCTCTAACAATCTCCTCTTAAGATTCTGATGATCTTTTCTATGCTTAATTGAAGAACTAAGTTTGGCAAAGGCATCTCCCACTTTGTCAGAGAATGATTTCAGTGCAGAGAATGAGCGTAACAGTCCTGAAAAACACAATTCCTTGCAGCTTGCTGAACTTTAGCATTGCTGTACTTGAGTTACTTAATGAAATGTCCAGATAACTACTAGTATCATTTTAATTACATCAAGGCTGATATGTGATATGCAACCAAAAATCTAGCATTTACTTACTATATGAATCATTCCTCATGCTTTGTATGATAATCTTTGAAGAATTTTTTGTCTTTGATATGAAACAATCAATCCTCCTACTGATCAACCTGTTTTCAGAATGATGCTACAGAAAACATCATCCTAAATGCTAAAGTTATTATATTTTTATGCTTTATGAATCTCATGCAGGACATTTATCAACAGAATGCTTAAGATGCATATATGGATTTCTCTAGAACTCATGTTTAGGCTTCATTAGACCTGAGGGCATCATCAAATCCATTGCCATCTTCTATGGTGAAGGCATACACTAATTGGACTAGAAGAACTACATGCCACTATCAGGTCTTATTCTAGACCTAACTGCATCTAATATCAGTCTCATCCATCTAAAGTCGACATGCAACCTAAATCTAAACTCTGCAGAGATCAGATTGGATTCCTTTCATCACACAATACTGTACTTTAAAGGAAAAAAACTATGTTACCTGAAGTTTCTTTCATGGAAGCTGCAGAACCCCCTTGTGTGTAGGATGGATTATTGGGGTTTCGGAAAGACAGGAGCTTTGGTGATGATGGAGAAGCTACCAGCCTGGAACCATTGAAGGTGGGCATAGGATATCTTGCCAGCTTATCAGTTATATGGATTCTCCTCCATGGAAGCCGACGTCCATAGACCAAGTATCAGATGCCGATGCGTCCTCATCACTCCAAGTGATATCATTATAACAGTGATTGATTTAGGGTGAAGTGTTATAAGCTATCTATTGGAATATACATTAATACTAATAAATCGAATTCGATAAAAAAAAAATCTTGTAAAATTAGAGGACGATTTTCTTTAAAAAAAAATATTTATTTTTTTTTATTTTTTCCCCAAAAGGTGCCTTTATTTTTATTTTTCTAGATAGTGCCTCATATGTTTTGTAATCTCTTAAATGCCCCTTTTCGCTTGTTGTTTTCGCCTCGTTGCCTTCCTTCACATCGATCACCAATCCCTTTCCATGTATCATGATCATTTTGTGCCCCTCGCTCCTCAATCCTCGTTGCTTTCACCTACTCACTTTTGTCATATTGTCACTCAATCAGGGGGTGCAAAGTAGTTCGAAAAGGAGGTGTAGGCTATGCAGGTGAGGAGAGAGGAGAAGCCTTGTACGGTAGAAGTAATAGCTAGGGGCAAAAGTAATGATCACGATGCATGGGGAGGGCATGGTGACTGATGTAGCAAAAGGCGATGAGGCCTCATATAGGAGGCAACGACCAATGAGGGGTATCTATGAGATTATAAAAAATATGGGCATCATATTGTCATGGTCATTGTGCACCCACATCAATGGATCATTCATCCATTTTGTTTGCTTATACATATATTTTGTAACATGTTTTATCTTATTTTTATGTATTTTTGCTCAAAAGTTATGAGCAAAAATAATTTACAAGGTTGCAAAGCAATTGCTCACTAGAATGGGTAAAATTACTCTAGAATTATCTAATTTTCACTTGCCATGATCTGTATTTTATAGACTACAGTATAGTATGAAACATCGACCATTTTAGTACCTTAGAACTACTCGGGTATTGGGTATCGATTAGATTTACAAATTCATATGTAAAGCTTACCAGGACTTGCCAACATGCCTGAACACTCGGTGAACAATCGTTTGTAGACTTACAACTATTTGTTTGTCTTTTAAAATCCTTATTTTCTCCTTCCTATCTTTTCTCTTTTGTAAACTAAGTGTTTGTTAAATTGCTTATAAAATTATTCTCTTTGTGATATATCCGAACTTATCCATTACTTATTTTCTAAACTAATTAATTTGCTCTTTTATAAGTCCTTCGGGACTTGAACAAGATTGCAACTAAGCTGACCTTTTGTGGATAGATAACATAAAAATGCTTAATAATTTAGGTAATTCTAGTTAAGTTCATAACATTTTGGTATCAGAGTAGGCAAGCAATTTGAGCAAATAATAAAAGTTTACAATCTTAGCTTGGAGAAGCACCATAGTGAATCGAGCAAGATGGAGTAAGTCAAATTATTACCCCAAGTAGCTGTAAGTGCAAACTCAAAACTCACTCTTCAGTTATCATAGCTACTCAAGAGAAGCACAATAATAAAAATGGTAAGCGAGATTTGGGTATTCTTCGCAAGTGAAGGAATCATAATACAAAGTGCCAATTAGAAAGAGAAAATATAAGGAGAGGCTTATAGCTACGAAAACTGATCTTGATGTTTTCAAAACAAGTCTAGAGGAACTCTAGTAAGGTCAACGAAAGCTTCTTGAAGCAAAGAACTTGTAAAAGAATGTAGAATCTCATATCAACAAAGTCGAGTCCCAAGTTGATCGATTGATAGAAGACACTAAAAACTTAATACAATACCAATACAAAGCCATGGGAGAACTCATGTCTAGGATTATGTTACTCATAAGGGCTCGAACAACATTTATATAGCTCCACCACAAAACTTGAGGGTACTTAAGCTATATTACCAGGGGGTGCTAGAGATACGAATGAGCATGAGAATTTTTTGTTCAATATGGAATAATACTTTTAAGCTACAAAGCTTGATTATGAATAAATTAAAATTTTAATAAAAATCATGTATCTAAATGGAGATGTAAAACTTTGATACTGAATGTGTTGGAAAGAGATCCAATAAGGTCAGTGTTGTATGGACACATGAGAGGACTTTGAAATAGAAGTTCAAAACTCAATTCCAACCTAAGAACACTAAGTTTGTCAAAAGAATGAAGCTAAGACAACTCTACTAAGGCACTTCCATTTAAGACTACGTAGAGTAATTTTTAGTATTGATGCTAGGCATATAAGATATGTCTAAAAAAGGATAAATTGTTTAGCTTCTTCGATAGCCCGAAGCCATGGGCAAAATAGAAACTCCATTGAAGGAATGCCATCGATTTTATTAAGGTAATTGTAGTTACGAAAAGGTTACTAACTTTATTTCCTCCAAGAACTCAGGGAAGAAATAATCTTCTAGAAATCACTTATTTAAGTATTCCCGAGGAAGGAGTTTATAATCTAATAAAAGAAAAAGAGTTCCCATAAAGGGTTGAGTTCAAAGTACAAGGTCCCAAAACTTGACAAATGCTTCTTATGTGGAGAATCAAACATCGTGAGCGAGTGCCTACAAAAGTAGGCATTTAATGCATTGACATTATTAATCCATCCCTCCAAATCGGATAAGGGCAAGATCGTCACCCTTAGTTCAAGTAGTTCGAAATCCCACAACGACGACGAGGAGTTGTAAGAACCCCAAACGAGATCAATACATTTATTAAATATGTTACAAGGTCAAGTAGGAGAGAATATAAAGATAAAGTAACAAAAAGTATAGAGCAACAAATTGATGTATATGAGCATCAAGCCAAATGACCAAACAACCTATGCGATGGACACATGTGCTACTTATAATTTTATTACTGACTGAGAGGCAAGATGACTTAGGCTAAACCTAGAGAAGAGTATAAATTGAATGAAAGTTATGAAATCGAAGGTTAAGTAGATCTTCAGGTTAGCAAAGAAGGTCCCTATCAAAATCAAAATGTAGAGCCAAAGCATAAACATGATGGTGGTGTCGTTAGATAACTTCCAAGTAATTATCGAAATGGAGTTCAAGCATGTGAAAAAGATAGTACCAATGTCATAGTGTCGTAGGGACAAATATATCATTAGCTTAGAAAGGAATGTAAATATAAGATGACAGATAATAGGGTCATGAGTTTGACAATGTCATGGTACCATATAGGCACGACTTTCATAGAGTTATCGATTCCTTACTCTCATGAAGGGTGAGTACTTGATCATGAAAGAAGCCAAGGAGGCAAAGAATAAAAGATAAATTCCAAGTACTAAGATAAGGCTAATAGCCAAAGACAAAAAAACTTCGCAAGACCAGTGTCAACGATCTTCTTATCTAAATAGTTGAAAGTGAGGGACTTCGGGTCGTTGCAAGAGTGCTCGACTAAGGAATGAAGAAGGTAATACATGGTGTTATACCTTTTTTTTTCAAAGGAGTAGGCAGTAGAAATGATAGAGAAGAAGGTACAATTTTAAATGTGACAAACTATTAGAGACTTGCTCCAAATCGAGGTAAAATTTTGTTCTTTTCAATAAAACTTCATACATTCCAAAAGTTTGATGATAATGAGAAGGTAAATTGTAATAGCTAACACAATGCAAGGAGTGCAAACACTTACGGTACTTCATAAGTGTGAGCAAAAAGTAAACAAATGCTAGTAACCAAATCAATATATGAAGTACAACCCTCGAGGAGGTGGGCGAAGTCAAATAAATTTTACCTTATCAACTCTTAAAATAATAGGCGAAATTGAATTCTCTAGTTTCTTATTTATCTTATAAAGGAGCTCTTTCTATGTTTAAATAAGGTGAAAGATAATAGTTTTTAAAATCTCACCAATGATAATTGGTATTATCGAGAGTAGACTATTCACTTTATTTCCTAATAAAATATCAATCAAAAGCAGAAATGATACTGACCTACTTGAAAATGATAACTAAATGGAGAGATATCGATGGGTATATTTTGTGAAGGAAAGACCTCAAAAACTTTAAAGTTTGTGAGGCAATGCTTATTCAAGTTCAAACAAGCATCCACCAAATTCAGACAAATGTTTAAGAGACAAGTTCATAATAAGGAAGGACTTTTTTCTTCATCTATCTATAATAACTTATAATGATCAATATAACTTAGTCGATTCTATATTAGTGTCCGAGTCATTGGTGAGTTGAAGTAACATGGCAGATTCAAGTTCGACTACTCAATAACAACGATGGAGAGTAGTTGGGAGTTAAAAGGTGCATTGCAACTAGAGTATAAGATTAAAGATTTAACAAAAGTTAGAAGATGTAGCATCTGTAAAGACTTCGACAAGGACGTTAAAGGAATAAGTGGGAGAGAATGTTATAGATGAAATTGTAAATAGGGTGTTCGATATAATGCTCATACATGTCTATGTCTTTTGGATTTGTTCATGTTTTGCATAATATGTAAACGATTTATAGTAGGTTTGGTATGCCCATTTTGGTTGGCTTTATTGGTCGTTTCAAACTTGTAAATATAGATTGTGGGCAATTATCGTGTAGAGATAAAATTGTCTAGAAATAGACTATCCAAGTAGTCTTTTTGGGGGTTTTCTAGCCCCATAGAGTGGTGTAGAGTGTCAACTTACATAATACCCAAGAGTTGCCTAGGTGGCATATGGTTAGATGAGCCTTTGGGATAGTATTTAGGGCTAGTTCATTACCTTGTTTCGTAGTAATATCATATGGGGACTTGTGGGGACTTTTAACTGCGACAAATCACCTTGGACCATTTGTCGAGTAACCGTTCAGAGTTTCTAAAGTCTATATTTGTCATTCGTATTGCCTATTAAGTGTTTATTAAAATGATTGCTTGTGAATACCAAGTTAAATAGTTTATATAACTTATCTTCTAGGTCCTCAAGGGATTATAAGAAGTTTCGGAGAAGTTGACCTTTTGCGGATGGACATGCAAAGGTATCACATGAGTTAGATAAGACTAGTTAAATTCGTGATAGCTCATTGTCCACTTATTGTCATTGCTCGCCATCTACTATGGGAGAAGAAGGGAGGAGATGATGGAAAGGAGAGAGAAGAAAAAGGAAGAGAGGGAGAGAGGAGGAGAGGATGAACTACCGGAAA